GCTGCATGATGCAGTTAAATTCAATATTTAACTCTATAGTATATAATTCTGAAAGAGCATTAGAAGGCACAATCCATCTGTTTATCTTTATTATCGTCACTGAGACTGCCGGTGGTACACACTGCTGGTGGATGTTTGTAGTATTCTGCATTCAATATTCTAATTAATTCGAATATATACATATTTATTTTAGGTTCTCTCAGAATTAATCAGACATATGAAAATTACGAAATATATTGAATTAAGGTGCTATTTCAATTAGTCATCTAGATTTTGGAATTTCTTTCGCCGATTTTTGCCATTAACATCACTGACGAGTCCTAAAAGGACTAAACAGCTGTATGATGCGGTTTGATTTTATCATTTGACTCCAATGTACCCGATTTTAAAATTGTATTCAACGTTTTGGTCACTCGTGTATCTTTTGTACATTTTCAATCACTCTGATACTAGATGCCTTTTTTATAAGATGTATACTTTTATTTCTTACATACCTACAGTGACATTCATCTCTACATATGTCTAATATTATTATAACCTGTCATTGTACTTTGTCAGGTTTTATAAGGTCCTTTACTATTTTTATCTCTTGGATAAATTTCATAATCATCTTACAATAACCTCCATTACTTCAAATCATATAGGCCCACCTCATTCTTACAGCTGCTAGAGATTTGATATTATTACTTTTGTAGTTGTTATCGTTATTTGTGGTATATCCACTCTTTTAGCTTTGGATATGTATGAATTCCGCAAATATCCTTGTGATAATGGTTTTTCTTTTGTCCCAAAGATTTTCAAGCGAAGAGCTGCTGGATATCTTCAACGTCCAGACCTGCTGTTTTAGATACAATGTAGTATGTCTCCTATATGACTGCTAACAGTTTTTTCGTCACCACATGAGAAAAAGATGCATTTGGGTATTCGATGTACTTCAGGGGAAGAACGTTACTAAATCTTTTGATGATATGACGTCATCACAGGAAAACTGGTGCCAAGAGAGAAATCGCCAAAAAATATCTGGTTATAAAAACAAGTAAAAGTGTTGTTATGGGAATCATGTAAGTAATCCCATTCCAGCATCTACAGAGGAGGGCAGGAGAAACAGACTAACGGTGTTCTCACGAAATTTTACCGCCGACGTACTTTTACATCAGTCATTTTTAATATAATAGACAAAATATATGTTTTACAGAGATGTAAAAAAAAGAGCATATTTAAACATAAATACTTAATGTATAGATGTTTCCCTGCATGTTAGTATTTATTTAATCCAGTCGATTGTTTTACAAGTGTGGTAGTGATATAAAGTTGTACTGATCATTATTAAAATGGTGTAAGATGACGTAAGTGAGTATCATAGCGGTTGTCCTTCCCGATATTCAGGGAGATGTTTTAATCTATGCCGTGACGAAATTGTTATGCAGGACAAACTAGAGGAGACGTTTGGGGGAAATGTCATACAAAAATGTTCTTAACCCAACCAAAATCTGAAGGTCTTACTGACGAAAACGTCTGGCAGGATTCTTGTGCAAATAGTTATACAAGTGGTATATCCCTTCGTGGATCGCCTCTTCTGAGCCAACAATTTGACATTCATAATTGAGACTTTCACTAATTTCCTCTAGTTGCTGATCTCTACCTATCGTAATCGTAAACTGTTATTTTTCAGTCCAACAGACATTTTTTTTTCATATTACTAGAACATAACTATCTATATAACTTTATTCCAAACACGATCTTACTTTGAAAGTCAATAAATTAGCAGATAATATTATGAAGAAAGTGCTATGTTCATTGAAATACATATTTTTTTTTTATAATTTTATGTTTGTCACTTTCTTTTGGATCGTTGATAAGGTATAGTTATTAAATTTAAGCGCTGTGATCTTCTGGAGCTCCATAAGGATCAATACCAGTGTGATTAACACCAAGTAATTACCACAGTCACAGTGTCGATAGCTTTTCAATTAATACATCTGTGGGTAAGTGTCGACCACAATGGATACGGTCTCAGACTGAGAATGAGAATGTCACGAACTATGAAAGTCAATTTCCTACAGTATTATCGATGTGTCTACCGTCATGTTGATTTTGTCTAAACGCATCAGTATCGATTGAGATTAGATTGATAGAATTTAATTATCACTCCTTAATGACTAGGAGTTCATGTCTGAAGTTATTCGTACGATTTCGTTAACGTTAAAATGAGATCAAGTCCGGCATTTGTGTTGCCGTCACTAAGGTGTTTTATGGGAGAAACACGTGCTATCGAGAAACAAGCGTCAAGCGAAACAGATAAAGCATTCGGTCATGTAAACGTTTACAGTCTGTGGGTTTCATATCATTCAAAAAGTGTCATTATGGAAAATGGTTTGATAAAATAATCGTTGTCGAGTTGATAGCTTCAATGTTCAAGATGTAAACATTTTTAATGTTTATTAATCAGTAAAATGATTTATTGATTGATTAAAGTAATAATTGATAACTTTAATAAATCAAGTTGATTTAGTAAATAATAAATTGATAGCCACCATAAACGTTAACGAAGGCGAAGATGTTTAAGTAATACTGCAGCATTTTATACAGAAATGCAAGATAAAATTATACATCCATTAAAATTAAAGTGTTCATCTGAGACAGGAAGTTTAGGTACTGTAGTAAGGTATAAAAATATTTTTTGTATCAATAACAAAAGCAATTAAACTCTCTGAAAATAGTTCATAAATAATAAAACATTAAACAGATAAGCTGTAGGAGGTATTAACCAAAATGGAACTGGAATTTACAACTATTTCGCAGTGTTACTTTCAGGATTATTGTCACAAATTATTCAAAGGTACCATAATTATTTGCTTATTTTATTCAAAAAGTAGAATAAAACAAGCGTACGAATGAAATGGTGCCATGTAGTTATTTTTTTTTAAAAAATCACCCGCAAGAATCGACATTCCAGCATATTGTATTAAACAATCTAGATTTTTTTCGAGAATGTGTGATTTATTTCCAGTGAAAAAGAACAGAAAAACTAGACATGCATTGCTAAATAGAATCAGAATAATTTTGCTTCCTATTACCGATTTTTCTTTTACTTACGATACATTGAGCCGTACAGATTGTAAAAACGGTCGAAAATGCATTTGATTGATATCTTTTCTTATGGTATTGACGTTTGTTTTACAAAATGATAAATATTTATTCAAAGTTTTAATTTTCCTTGTTATTTCATTAAATCTAAGAATATGTTTTAAGTATTGTAAATCGTTTACCAAAAAATAATAGTAACGCATCTGATTATTTGCTTCTCTTTTACAGAACAAAACCTCGTGTCTTCATCCCAAGGACAAGTAAAACTGAGTGACATGGCTTATGTAAATAATGGGATAGCAAAGAGATAACATGGATAAGCGTCAAAAAGACCTTGGAACCTGGCTTAATCGCCTAGGATCTTTTAGGATACGATGATATGTCAATCTTTATTATTCCTCTGAGTTCTTTGGCTTGTCCTTATTTGAATCATTTAGACAGATGGGAAGACTTAGCGTCACGCCGTGTTGACTTGATATCTTGATCATTTAGCAATATTCAGAAAAAAAATCTCCAAATGATCGAGTTTCAGTACCAGTAATGATAAAATAGAACTGCCTCTTACATATAGAGATGAATTTCGATGACAGAAATTAGGTTTACAAATTTAAATGCACACTTTACGAAAAAAACAGATAAAGGCATTTACATGATTTGCGATTCTGATAAATAAATTGAACACGACAATTTCAGTGATAAATGGATATTATTGCAAAGCGTCAATATAAAAGACTGCACTGTAAGGTCAGTAGACCTACGAATCCATACATACTTAGTAATAAAAAAACTCTCCTGAAACAGATTAACCTCCGCGCGTCACCATAAACAGGAGAGCAAAGTAATCAAAATGGGGATTAACCTATCAAATAGAATGGGTTTATTATTGGAAGCACTTAACGATATTGGCTTAATACCGGAAATGCCAAACCGGAAGTGTTCCTGTACTGGTTATTTGCAGTATGATGTTCAGAGTGTGGTGACCTTGTTGGCCGTGTTCTTTTATAAAGATGGTTTATTCACCTACAAGGGTGGTATTGGAGCTTCCCTTGCTTCTTTGAGGAGGTAATAAATATGATATAAGAAGAAAATAACGTTTTTGAAATGGGTGACGTACATCAAGGAATATTCTTTTTCTGACAATAAGACGGAATGCCGGAACCTGTTTAGAACTTTACACAAACACAATGAGCTGCTTGTTTTATTTCACTTGATTAGAAGATAATAAATTCCATTTCAACTCTATTCAAGTATAATATATCACAACTCAATATAAGGTGTGGTCGACCAAAAAGTCATTCTTATATTTATTTTGTATTTCTAATTAAAATATCTTAGATATTTTATTTAGCACATTTGTGTCTTTCATTCAACGTTTTAGATGAAAATATTACATCAAACAAACTTTTAGTTTTTGTTTTTCAGATACCAGTGTTTTGATAACTATTTCAAAGAGTACACGTGTTCATAACGTTCGTTCGAAATCACCAGTAATCATCCGTTTTGTTTGAAAATCATAAAGTCATTAAATTGTGAGGAATAGTGAGCCGTCCCTTCTAGACTTTCCTCTGTCGCTTCCTTGGTTTCAACACCTTTTGAATACAAATGCTTTGGATCTATTTTATATATATATATGTTATCCTAAGTTTATATTAAAACGTGCTATTGTCTACTTTGTCTTTTGAACAACCCCTCTAAATAATTGAAAACAAGGTTTGATACCAGTAAAATTATGTTCGCGACCTCGTTTTTTCTGTGCAACTTTTGCATTTGCTTGAATGGACACATAGTTTACTGGCAAAATCCTCTTTACATCAAAGAACGAATTTACTATATATATTAGGAATGTGCTTAGAATTAAGAAGTTGACGTCAGATTTAAGTTTATTCAAAATAAAACATAAAACATGCACTCACCCTCATTCCTGTTTCCGGACAGTGACATCGCAGCCTCAAGCACCTTCTGAAGCAGTAGCTGATATTCGAATTCCGAGACAGGGCTAGAATAAGGAGGCACCATTCTTTTCCCACGTGGCGATGACATCATCGCCTTGAAATAAGCTGCTCTCTTTTGAAGGTCATAAGAACCACTGTCACTTTCGTCTTGTATCGTTCGCTTTCCCCGAAGTGCTTTATCCATGCCATGCTTTTTCTGTAATTCAGAGTTATCTTTTTTCCCTCTCATAGCAGAAAATGATGACATCCTTCTTCGTGTCCTTGCCTTCATTGCCTCTATCATTCGAAAGGCCTCTTCTGGTGATTCAACCAGTTGTGTGACACGTGTATTGTCTCTGTATGCTGGTACACTCTCTTCCGAGTCAAACATATGCCCATATGTGTCTGGGGCCTCTTTCTGAAAGCAGAACATTCATATATCGAATTTAAACACAATAGTACTTTTATTATCCGAAATACGGTAATAGGGACCCTTTCTGAATCCTAAACGGTCAATACTTAATGAACCATCAACACCAACAAAAATGATACTAATACTTAATCGTACATAGCGAACAAAGAATGTACCGACTAAAGCCAATATGGTTGAATAAGAAATAATTGAAATGCTGTACAACTGTACGAATAAATTTCCGTTTGCTAATGTGCTGAAAATCATTCATGTTTCACATTATAAAAAGGAAAGTGTAGAAATCCGAGGTATTTTAATGTGGGAACAGATGAGGGTTCTACGCTTTTATGATTACAAAAAGAAAATATATTCTTAACTGTCACGTTCGTAATATATCGTCACAATTCCGGGCAACATATCAGAATATCACGTTATCATAACAAAGTCTGCCATGACTAAACTCAGTTGCCTGAGCTGCAGGTGTTGCAAAAACACAATGTAGATTACGTATCTGAGAGTGTTCGGTCTGTTTGTTGTCTAATGAACGTAATCAGTAGACAGTTAATCTAAGCTTAATTAAAGTCAACTGTGGTCGCCATCAACAAGTATAGGCTCGGACATTAATCTTCAGCGTTTCTAGGATACAAAGTATTACACAACAGACACACAAGTACATATCACCTTTAAGGAGGAGAAGATAGAAGTTGAAATCAGAATACGACAATGTTTCTATGTCTATTTCTACTCTTGCTTGGCCATAAATATGATGGTAGCCGCACACACTGTATTAATGACTAGTGATTTCCTAACCCCATGCGTCATTGAAAGGTGATGAATAAAAAAAGAAACTCTAACATTATAAAACAATAACATTCATCTATAAACATTTATGACTGGCTTTTAAAGGATGTATAACGTTTGGCAATAAACGCTGTCAAGGAGTACAAAATTTTCAAAAACTAACTTTTCAATTTTAGAAAATTTTATTGAAGAAACTGGAACTTCATGACAATACAGTTTAACATTCTACTTTAAGAAGTATGTTTATGATAAGACATCTTTTTAGCATAGAAGTTTTATGGTGATAAGCCCACGTTTTGAACTTCTTTTGATCTATCTTTGACTCCCTTTATAACTATTATCATCTAATACGTATTTAATATTATCATCATCACCATTTCATCACTGTCACTTACACTATGCTCTACCTTAATATATGGAAGATCATATTGTTTGATCAAAGCCTGAATTATTATCCAATGTAAATCCGACCCAAGTGCATATACTGTTTACTGCTCATAGCAACCCGAATAAAATATTTTATAATAACGGTGCCTTCATTTGTTTTAAAAATATTTGTGATGTGAATATATTTATGAATACAACGCAAACGCGTATATATGTAAATTGCCAAATTGCCAAAAACGCAAATTGGATGGGAAGCCTATTGGTTTCACACGTTTGAACACAAAGTGTACCATTTGGGATCAATACCATTCTATAAAATGGCTCTTGGACTTGCATGTTTGGAGGATTTTTCTATGTTTCATATTTTATGTATTTTACACTTTTACTCTTAATCGTCAATAATTGATTATCTATTTTATTCTATCCGATATGAAAATGTGTACCTATCAGAAGATACGTTTGTAGTTAATGGGATGGAAGGACGGCCATCTTGACTGTTGATATATCGATATTGATTAGTCCAATAGCTTTTATTTGTGAACAGTTTACAATTTTGCCATGACAGAGTAGAAAGGGGAAAACTCGAATATTCCAGCATGTTAACAAATGTAAATTCAAATTCAATAAAAAAAGGACAAAATCTGAAAAAAGAAAGATTTACTCCAATACTCCTGAAAAAAGACCAGGTATTTCGCAAGAGTAAGTGTCTTCTGCTTCATCGAAGACATCCATTAAACCTTGGTCAATCTTAACTTCATTAATAGGCAATACAAGTGACTGACACTGACGCCAATATTTCGTTTTGAAAAATCGCTAAATGTATATGCAGAGAGTAAATGTTTTAATGTCTAGTGATATGAATTCAGTAATTAGATGCAGTATCTGGAAGCAAAATTCCAACAAAACACGATAATCCGGTAATCATGAAATATACTTCCAACAGGCAACGGAAAGTGCAGCGGAGAGAAGAATCCTTAATGCTTATATTTGTGTAGGGTAGCCACCAAAGAACACTTTATGCAATTACACATAAATGTCACATGCTGGACACCGTAGTAGGACCAGCCTAGGTCATATTAAACTGACGATGTGCTAACGGTCTCTGAGAGCTGACTGATTTAGCTGAATGTCAAGCAGAGAACAACAGGCATCGATGTTATACACTTTACTTAGTCTCGGTAAATGAACAGAACCCATAGCCTTCCATGCTTGGAAGGAGATATAGCACAAGGCCTAATGCGAGTTAATGATTAGTTAGTTCTGAAAATTTGTTTATGAAAGAGCGAGCTAGGTTTATCATTAAACAATGGAGATAGCAGGTTCTGTGCGTATGTTGAAGTTGAAGAAACACAAAATTATTGTTTAGTCGATGATCAGTTAACCATTCATATCCTTTTCGGAGAATGAATTGCTATATTTCTTATGTATGATTTGTTCTCAAATACGTTAGAGGTGAGATATTTATTGCTACAAAGAAAAGTGGTCAATACCAAAAGGACTAAATCAAATCAAATCAGTCCACGTATCTATAGAAGTTACAGAATTGAAATAAGGGATCAAGATCAATAAACTGAAACTATCAGGGTCCGAAACAATGGAGTATCATATGAATTCAATATCAATGATGTTAGAAATAAAAGTATTCGGTTTATATATCCACCATGTAATAAAACAACAAACATACCAACTCCAAATCTACCTTTCACTTCAATCTGTCTCACCTTTCACATGGCGATCTTTGTCTCTGTGAAAGAGGTGTTAATGTGTACTTGGACATAGTTTATAATACTTTGACGTTAATTCTCCTCGAAATGTGATGTAATCTGCCTCACAAAAAATTCAGTTTTAGGTGCATGTGACACATTAGTGCGCTCAACACGTCTGTCTACTTCGCCACAAATTAGCACCACTAGGCATGAGTGTCTTAGAAAGTCACAACAGAGCAAAGAGGCGTTAGCTTGAGGTCGATATTCTACAGTAGCTGGAATAATGATCGCAAAGAAGAGTCAATTCGTTCTATTACCTAACCTTTTTTTTTATCGAAAACGTATTGTTATGTTAAATAGACATAAAATGGAAATGAAATAGCTCTTGCTTTCTTTGATCCTTTAACTCACGAACCAACACAGTTTTCCAATAGGCCACACAAACAATACTATGCATCCGTTCAGAATGGCATTATCTGGACCAATAATCTTGATATTTTCTTTTATACTGGTGTCGACTTCATCATTATAACATATTCATACCGTAGCGTTAAACTTCAACGTAGCTGTGCATTGCATTGTTGCTATCGTCTTAAATGATGATTATGAAAAACTCAAATAGAGTCTGTGTTTCAAAAACGGCACACCGTGTATATAACGTGACATTACTAACTTGGATTGACAGAAATTTAAAAAGGGTATTATTATCCGGATACTTTTTTTAAGGAGTCAACATGTTAATAGTTTTGTAAATATATTTTGCTCTGGTTTTATGGAATTTGAGATTGGATTATGAATTTGTTTTTCAAACCCACACATCTGTTCAGGTCTTTCCAGATTTTCCTAACATACATAAATAACAATGCGATTACATGACGACCGCTTTCTTTCCTGCAATAAAAAGCTCCTCTCTGTTATGGTGGTACAAATGAATATAACAACAACAAACAAAACAAGTAATGCCAGCATTCTTTTAATCTATCGGAAAAGATCAAACCTTTATGCATACTGTCTCGTCACCTGAAACCTTCCGATAAATGTGTGATATAACTCTAGTGCGAAGATTCATCTCGCAACATCTTTTCTGTATGCTCCATCAAAAGTGTCTAATGCATGAAATCTTACAACTCTGAATATTTATGTTGGAAACTAAACCTTTACACAATGAAACATTTCCATATGAAATTTCTGTTTTATGTTAGATCGCAATCTTTACACAAGGAGCTCTCGCCATTTGAAATTCTGACGTGTTATATCATAAACGCTTGAATAATAACACCTTTCATTTTCCTTTTTTCATATTTTATCTGCGATAGAACGAAGTGATAATGCAACGTTTTTGTGTGAAATAATCCTTTTTTAATTGGGAATTGTTTTTTGATATGAAAACAATACTGACTCCATGTTGATTGAGTGATGAAATCCATTAAAACAGATGCTCTCTGAATTCGAATGTTTTACACTAACAACTATTCAATTAGGATTTTCTATCTGCTGGCCGGTGGAACTCTATCGGAACAAAACGACACCAATAAAGGGTTTTTGAAGCTGTAAACATGTGTTTGATTTAAAACCGCCACAGTTTAGGGTTTCTGCCTCATGTCGACAAAGTAACTAAATAAACCATGAAACAGAACATAACGTTACAGACTGGACAACGAAAAAAGGCAATATCATATGTTTTATGGTAAGAATTAACACAGATACAGGTGACACTAATATATTTTTGGTAATTTATTTTTTCATTAACAATTACATCATCATCAAATATCCGACGCATTCATCTGATTTTTGCCAGTAAGCCAAGCCAGGATTCTATCGCGAAAAAGATTGATTATTAAATTGCAACATTAATTAATGTTATCAAATACTTCTAAGCTTGAACTAGCCTGTACCAAATCCTTACACTATCATCCTATCACCTATTTAAAGTGTTCTCACTTAACGATTTGTTTTGTTATTTGTTTCTGTACCTCTATAGAAGCGTATAAACACTATGGCAGCTACATTTTTCATGACACTACTTGAGTGTCATTGACAAAATGAACAGTTACCAATTAAGCCAAAGAGTATTTATTATTTCATTTAAAAGTTCCATTAAATATTTTATTG